TTGCAATGGATGATCTGAAATAAGTGTGTTATAATGAACAAAAGTCCATAGTTTGCATCAGGATTCACTCTTGGTGTTGTACAGTTCTATAGGTTTTGACAAATTGTGTCATGTAGCCGCTGTTACCATGTCATACAGAATAGCTTTGCTGCTCTAAAAATCTCCTGTGCTTCACTTAATCATCCTACCCCATCCTCCCCAACCCCTGGCAATCGCTGATCTTTTTATTCCAAAACTGTGCCTGTTCCAGAATGCTATAAAGCTGGAATCATACAACTATGTGGCCTTTCAGATTGGCTTCTTTCACTTAGCAATATGCAATTAAGGTTCCTTCATGTCTTTTTGTGGCCTGGTACTACATTTTTTTTCTTTCTTTTTAATATAATTTTTAGTACAATTTTATAGCAAAAATGAGTAGAAAGGACAGAGTTCCCTTATGCTCCCCATTTGCACAGCTTTCCCTATTACCAACACCCACTCCAGAATGGCGCACTTGTTACATCCCTGACGGCATATGATGTATGGCATCTTTTCATACACTATTTGCCTCCTGTATATCTTTATTGGTGAGGAGTCTGTTTAGATCTTTTGACCATTTTTTAATTGAGCGGTTTGATTTTTTTATTGCTGAGTTGTAAGAGTTCTTTGTATATTTGGATATGTCTTTTATCAAATATGTGTGTTACAAATATTTTCTCCAAATCTTATTCTCTAACATTGTCTTTCACAGAGCAGACATTTTTTTTTATTTTCATGAAGTCCAACTTACCATTTTTTTGTCCATGCATCATGCTTTTGGTATTGTATCTAAAAGGGTGTTTAAATATCTGGGAAGCAAGACTTTAAGAGATCACTGGACTCCAGAAGGAAGCTTGAAAATCCTAGGGAGATGTCATGAGTGGGACTTTCAGCATCTGAAGGTGGCTGCTGGCTCTGCATCAACCTGAACAATAAACACCAAATATCTGTAGACCTTCCCTGACTCTCCATCAGAGTGCTTGGACCGACCATGTCATCGCTTTCATCTTCTCGCGTGGACTCCACCAGTTTGACCTTTGGGAGAAGGAAAGATTTACATTTCGTTTTTGGATTTATCATTGCTTCTTAATTCTTGATGATTTTCTAAGGCTAACAAAGTATTTAAGTCTTTCCAACAAAATTGTTCAGCCAATCCAGTCTTCCTAACACGGAAATAGAGATAAACAACTCTGGTCTATTTTTTTTAAAATATTTTTTAATTGATGTCAGGGAGGAAGGGAGAGGGAGAGAGAGAGATAGAAACATCAATGATAAGAGAGAATCATTGATTAGCAGTCTCCTGCACGCCCCACACTGGGGATAGAGCCTGCAACCCAGGCATATGTCCTGACTGGGAATCAAACCATGACCTCCTGGTTCATAGACTGATGCTCAACCACTGAGCCACACCGGTTGGGCTCTGATTTATTTTTTAAAGATGGTAAGTTCTATATTGTTAAGAAAAGTTATTTGCCCTAACCCAGCAGTCAGCAAACTCATTAGTCGACAGAGCCAGATATCAACAGTACAACGATTGAAATTTCTTTTGAGAGCCAAATTTTTTAAACTTAAACTATATAGGTAGGTACATTGTTATTAACTTAATTAAGGTACTCCTAAGGCTTAGGAAGAGCCACACTCAAGGGGCCAAAGAGCCGCATGTGGCTCAAGAGCCGCATGTGGCTCGTGAGCCGCAGTTTGCCAACCACGGCCCTAACCGGTTTGGCTCAGTGGATAGAGCGTCGGCCTGTGGACTAAAGGGTCCCAGGTTCGATTCTGGTCAAGGGCACGTACCTTGGTTGTGGGCACATCCTCAGTAGGGAATGTGCAAGAGGCAGCTGATTGATGTTTCTCTCTCATCGATGTTTCTAACTCTATCCCTCTCCCTTTCTGTAAAAAAAAAAAAAAAAATCAATAAAATGTATTTTTAAAAAATTTCATTGACTCTAACATAAGAAACTTCAAGTTGGCAATGACATTTGTAAGAAAGAACTTTAAAAAAGCAAGTTACAACTGGTGTGGACGTGTAGTGATCACAATTTCCCAGGTACCCTTGTTTAACCATAGATCCCCGTTCTTTTATATCAAGCATCTTTGGTGATTGTCACTTACAGCATTTACCTTCCTAACCTCATGCTGCCGTGGCTGGCTTGTTTGTAACTATTTCACAAACGTCTGACAGCCCATCTTGTACTAATGTTGTTTTTCAATCTACCTCCAATGTGGGCTCCTTTGAGGCAGGAATCAATGGTTTTCACTACTCAGCCCAGAATTTCCCATGTAGCAAGCCTCAATAAGTGCTGTTGAGTTCATTTGTTGAATCTTTATCCAATAATACTTACAGAGTGCTCAAGAGAATTACATTTTTGAGGAGCCACACTTATGAAAAGAATATAGGGAAATGAAGGTTCAGGGAAACCATCCAAAATTCCCCAAATGCTGAAATATAAGATAAAGGAGGGGAAAAGAAAGAGCATGTTGGTGATGTTCAACTGTATGTAGGAATTATGTTGACCAGGATTGTTCTTCATTTCCCCAAAGATTAAGGGAAGAAGGAAATGTAGGTAAAATAAAGATTCAGGAAGCATGGAAGGAAGAATCTTTGACTTTAGGAATCTTGGTGGCGGTAAGCAGAAGGCAGGGAAAAAAGAAACTGGTTTTCTCTTAAAGGACACAAAGCTTTGTTAACTTAATGAAGTCCCAACAAAGGGAACACCCAAATGCTGAAGACTGGGCAGCCACATGGTAGCCAGGTTTCCATCCATGTGCCCTTGGGTGAAATTAATGTGCAATGAGCAAGTCCTTGATTGCAAGAGAAACTCAAATCAGTGCCTCGTCCTTCCTTACGGGTTCTGTGCAAGACAGTGAGTGGTAGGAGCAATAGCTGTGATTAATGTCAAAACACTGCCTAACCTCTCTGCTGGAAATCAGAGGCAAGGACAAAACACTCTTTTGAAGGGGTCTCTTGAAAATTTGCAACATCCTATATAATAAAAGGCTAATATGCAAATAGACTGAACAGCAGAACAACTGAACAACTGGTTGTTATAACGTGTGCTGAAGACCAGGGTCATGCGCAGAACATGGTGGGTGTTGACGGCAGTGGGATGGTGGAGCAGGTGAGCGGGGTGCCAGACCAAGGCGGGGCACGGTTGCTGTCATCGGATGAGCCTCTAATGGGTTACTGAAAATTCTTTGCTCCCATGCGCTTGGTCCCGCCCAGTGCTCGCACCTGCTGCCGGTGCCCAGTGCTGGCCCCGATCACTCGGCACTGTCAGTGGGTGTGAGCAGTGACTGCCGGCCCTGATTGCCCCTCAGGGCTTCTCTACCTCCTGCTGCTCCTGAGAGGCGATTGGGGCAGCAGCTGCAGCTCACACCTGCTGCTGGTGCCAGCCCCAATCGCTCTGCGCCATCAGCGGGTGTGAGCGGGGCTGGTGCCATCAGTGTGTGTGGGAGCAGGGCTGCCGGCAGACAGGACTGGAGGCCGTGAGAGGGAGGGGCTGGGCGGGAGCTTGGAGGATGGGCTGAGACCCGCCCCTGTGCCCACCGCAGCCTTGCGGCCTGCAGTTCCTTTTAAGGTGCACAAATTCATGCACTGGGCCCCTGGTCTTATAATAATAGCTCATGTATGGAGCCTTTGATATATGGGAAGGGATATAGAGGACCACATGAGGTAAGGAGGAGCTAGTGTGAGCACCAGTTAGCAATTGAGGATGTAGCAGTTCTGTGAGGTCACCTACATGGCTAGCCAAGTCTCTTAGCCAATGAGTGCGAGACCCAGGCACTGATCCCAGATTTCTATCCCAGTCTAGAACTCTTGACCCCCACTATCTTGCCCAATGACCTTTGGACATGAGACCTGCCTAAACAAGTCCTTGGTCAACCCCACTGGCTCCTGGTTTTCTATGATTGGCTTGAATGCCAGTTCCAAGGTCTGGGCCCACTGTGGCCAGAAGAACCTCTGCAGCTGCTCTCAACCTTGGCTGCACATTAAAACCACCTGGGAAATTTTTCAAAAATGTTGATGCCAGGGTCCCACCCCTAAAGATTTTGGTTTAATTGATTTTCAGTGCAATGTCAGCAGAGACATTTGTGTTTAACTTTTTATTGAAGTATATTATGCATGTAGAAACGTGCTCAGGCTGTCCGTATACATTGCAATGAGTTTTTACTAACTGAAGGTACCTGTGTAACCACCACCCCGCTCAAGAATCAGAATGTCACAAGCACGCACCAGGCTCCCTTCTAGTCTTTCCTCCTCCCCGCCTCTCCCACTGTCCAATCACTATCCAGACTTCTGACAGCATAGATAGTTTGGGCCTAGAGGTTTTTTAAAAGAAGAATCTTCTAAAATATATTTATATTGATTTCAGAGATGAAGGGAGAGGGAGAGAGAGATAGAAACATTAATGATGAGAGAGAATCATTGATCAGCTGCCTCCTACAGGCCCCCCACCAGGGATCGAGCTACAACCCAGGGCATGTGCACCGACTGGGAATTGAACTGTGACCTCCTGGTTCATAGGTTGATACTCAACCACTGAGCACACCGGCTGGACTGGCCTAAGATTTTTAAAGCTCCCCAAATGATTCTAATGTGCAGCTACCACTGACTATTGTCTTGCTGGTTGAAGGTGGGATGAACTAAATCAAATGCATAGATACAGGTAAACCAATATGAAAGCAAATAAGAACTCCAAGCTATACTTTCACATTAGCTAGCCAACAGGGATTTTTTTTTAAGTGTTTTTTTTTTAAACAATATCTTTTATTTATAAACAACTTTTCCCAGCACTCACCTCTTAGTGAAAGAAAACCTGCCACCTTCAGAATTGCCTAAATCACATTTGCAGATAATAATAAATCCATGTACGAAGTGCTTTCTAAGTACCAAGTCCCTTCCTGAATGCTTTACTCCGTTATCTTCTTCAATCCCCACGACACCCGATGATAACAGGCTCTCTTATTTCCCTACTTTACAGATGAGGAAACCTCGTCATAAACAGACAAGCAGCTTGCCCAAGGGCATACCGTTTGTACCTGGCAAAGCCTAACCTGCAGACTGAGATCCTTCTTGCTGTACATCTATTGTGCTTGGTATTTCAAAAATCTACGCCCGCCGACCGCTGACCTCTGCTACTAAATAGCTGGACAAAGGTGAGTGCCACACTGATTCCCTCACTCAGTGGAAGGAGCTGGGAAGGCATAGTTACCTGTGTGCGCTCGAGTGGGCCTTGATGACCAGGTAGCTTTACCTCCTTTCATTCATAGCTAAGGAAACAGCCAGGAAGGGAAGTTTTGGATGCCTCAACAAGCCGAAGGAAGGAAATTAAAGTCCGAGCCCCAGGGGAGGAAACGCTAGGGAAGGTCTTCACTTGACCTATGACCTCCAAGCCTCAGAGGTACAAGTTGGTGGCCTCTGTTAATACAACCTGTGGCCAGTGATGTTACTATTATTAATTAAGTTAACCTTCATAGCCTATTCACTTGTGAGTATTGTCATTTGTGTAATTATAAAAGTCTCTTCAAGTGCAGCGAGCATCTAATCTGAACCAGATCGAGCGCCGATGGTCACGGAGTTTTCTGGGTTGGAAACTGGGTCCTCTCCGGTTTCCTGAGTTTGCTCAGTTGTTTGGATTCCGTGTCATATGTGATCAGCCTCCTCGCATATTTATTCTGGCAGCGGAAGGGGTAGGGTGTGAGGAAATCTCTTGGAGAAGTTTTCATTGAAAACTCTAAGTCTTACTTCGTGAGCACTTTCAGAGAGTAAAAGACAACTCAGAAAATGTCAGGCTTATTGCTTTTCCATTTTCCTCCCCTAAGAAAACAGAGTTTCTTGGGGTTGTTCATGTTCCCCCCTGCTATAGGTCTCCCCCCCCCCCTCTTCCAGGCCCCCACATCCTTTTACTCACTACGTTCAGTTTCCCTGGTCCTTTGCTATGCAACTCCCTTTGAGCCAGAGTGTTGGGTCTGTTGCTCTCTAATTTTTTTTTTTCCGGAGCAATTTTCCCAATATAAATTACACCCTCCATTACTTTTCTCTCCCTAGAGCCGTGAATCACATGCTAGGAAGCCATTAGGGTGGGGGCAGCTGGATACAGAGCCCGGAGGTTTGAGCCAGTGCCGGCTTGTCACCCTCGTTCTCTGTTTACCCGGCTGGGGCGGCAGCCAAAGTGCAGCCTGGTGCTGAAGTCACCAGCCAGGGAGGGCCTCTCGTGCCGCGTCTCACTTCACCATGTGCTCTGGGTACCTCTGCTTTAGAGCCCTGGCCTGTGCTTGGAGGCAAGAAGACAAATGAGCCTAACCTAAGATGGCTTGACACTTGAACACGGGGCAGATTGCATAAGTGCCCCAGGTCTGCATCCCTGTGTGCATCACTGCCCTCTGCCACGGGACTTCGCAGTTCTTTCTACCAAGAGATGATCCGCTGATTCGACTGGGGCATCTGCTCTGGGTGTTGGTAGATGGGATGCCAGCAGAGGCTTGGAAGCGTGCTTGCATCACTGTACTTCTTCTCTTGCCCCTTTACTGTTTCCATGAGAAGAGCACGCCTGGGCTGGCCCAGGGCCCTAGGATGGGAATAAGAGATATGTGAGTCAGAGCTGCCCCCAGGAAGCTGCCCAGCCCAGCCCAGCCCAGCTGACAACAGAACCATCCAGCTGACCCAGAGATGCATGCACAAACCCAGCCACGATCGATCGGCAGGTCTGCCTAGCCAACCTTCACCTGAACTGCAGGTGCAGGAGCTGCAGTAGGAAGTGATTGCTGTGTGAAGCCTCTGAATTTTGAGGTGGTTTGCTCCCCAGCAATTGCGTTGAGGTCATGGCCTCTGAGACTAATATGATGACGATATGAGCAACGAGAAACAAAAGCACTTTGCAAATGTCAAATTGTGAGGAGAGGGAATAGACTGTTGAACACATTCTGGACCTGGAACCTGAAGACCTGAGTTCAAAGCCACTCATGCCTCCAATTACTCTACACACTTGGGCAGATAATTTCAAATTTCTGGGTCTTACCATAAGCTTACAGAGCTGGCTTGCAAACTCAAAGCCATGCGAGCTTCGAGAGTATGTCAGAAAATTAATATGGTCCTAGAACTTCATTGGTAGAGAGTTAAGAAAAAGACAGGGAAGGTGGGGGAGAGGTCAGAATAATTTATTTGGGTATAAATGAAATGTGATACCCCCCAAAAGGACAGATGCATGGAGTGGGAAATTAGATGATTTTGAAGAATATGTTTGATCAAAGGCTGAGAGGTGGACTTGGAGGCCAGATATAAAGTCCCATTTCTTCAGAGACCTGAAAGTGTGGGATTCATGAATGAATAGGAAGGAGAAAACCTTGAAAATGGCTTACAGAAGGCACCTTCCCGACACCTCTTCACTTGGAGTACAGCAAAGCTGGAGACAATTATGAAGTCTTTGGTCAGGTGGAGAGATAATAGTCCAGACTGGCAGTTCCATACACCGGTCTGGCTCTCTCTGAGCTACCTTTGACTTTTCTTGGTTGTGTATTACCTGGCCTTGGACAAGTCACCTATCCAGTGGGTAAGTGGATGAAACACGGTTCATCTATTCATTATGTATCAGTTACATGCCACATTCCAGGAACTATCTGGACCCTGGGGATGAAACTGTCCTCAGACCTGGTTCCCGAGTTGGCTACCAACTCAGGTAGATGGATTTTTCATACATTGTCATTCATGTCAAAGCATATACCACTAGATTCTTTTTCCAAGGGGACAATTATAGCTCAGGGAGATGAAGTGGCTTGTCCAAAGTCACAGAGCTTATAAGAGAAAGAAGAAAATGTATACCTTTTGACCCTAAAATCTGTCTTGTTTCTACGGAACTATGCTGCATCTTTTGTTGGCTGTTTGTTTTTATTTATAAAAATGTCACTTTTACACTTCTTTGGGTGCACATTCCTGTACATAAAGTGATAGAGTTAGGTGCTTGAGTTTCTTTTGTTCCCTGGAGAAGCTGTGTGATTTATAGTCAGAGGATCAAGGTCTCAGTTTCCAGGGCTTTGGAAGCTGGTGTCTCTACTGAGTAAGGACTGAGCTTAAATGTACAAAAATAAGGGAATGTTTTAATCAAGTATGGTTCCTCGGCTCAGTGGGACACTTTGAAAACATGAAATATAATGACTATCAAACTTTACAGGTGGGAATGTAGATTGTTATAGCTCCTCAAGGATATATGGGAAGGGATATAGGGGACCCAATGCTACCCTGGTCTAGAGCTCTTGATCCCCCACTATCTTGCCAGGGTATCCCCCAAAATGTATACACACTTTAACAGCTGATTCTATTACATTTTGAAAATGAAATGTATTTTAATAAACACTGCCTTTATAATTATTCAAAGTGTGTATACATTTTTGGGGGGGACACTGTATATTTCAGAACTACAAATGAACGTGTCCTTTGTTCTAACAATTTTAGCTTGAGGAACTTATTCTACAGAAATATTCACAGACGTACAGAATTATTCAGAGCAAAATTATTTGTTTTCCCTGGCAGGATATTGGAAATAACCTAAATGACCATCACTAGGGAACAGTTAAATAAATTATGATACCTCCTTAGGATGAAATGGCATGCAACTATGAAGAAGAAAGGAAAGAAGGAAGAGAAGAAGAGGAAGAGGAGGAGGAAGAGGCTCCTCATGCATTCACATGGAGCATTTCCAAGGTGTCCTGTTCATGAAGATGGTAGGATAATGCCCAGGGGAGAAAGGGAGTCTCTGGGATTCCAGAAGGAGGTCACTTTGACTTACTGGATCAGAGGCAGTAAGTTTCTGCTTACTCTGTGCCAACACTTATCGACTATGTATTATATGGAAGGTGCTCGGGTACGTTTTATAGAATGTCTAAAATGATACGAGAGAAGCCCCTCTACCTACTACAGTCTAGTTGGGGTTGTACATAGTCTTTATATATAAAAATTAAAACCATCACATATCAGTGAAATCAGCTTGAGGTGGGGATGAGGACAAAGTGTGAGCTTCAGGGAATCGGGAGCCTTCAGAAGAATTTCACTTGAGTTAGAGAAGGGTTTAAACAGAAGGACTGTGGTAGCCAGGCAAGGCCTGCCAGGCGGGCCTCTCTTCGCAGAAACTGAATTTAGAACAAGCAAGGTGAAGTTGGGGGCAAATAGGACCACTTTGGCTGGAGACGGGGAGACGAGCTCAGAGAGCAACTCAGTGATAAGGGCAGAATGGTAGGTTGGAGCAATACTGAGGAGGACCTGGGACGCCAAGATAAAGATCTGGAATTTTGTTCAGGCATGTGAACCAGGGGCAACATGCACAAAGCAATGATTTGGAAGTGTAATCTGGCCACCCTGTGCCAAGTGGTTAGCAGCGGAGGAGGTCTGAGGTTAGGAGACGCCTGAACACCTCAACAGCAGTCCAGGGATGAGGTGCAGAGGCCCAAGCTAGGCCGGTGGCTGGGAAAGTAGAAAAAGAGAGAGAGAGACACTAAGGCTTTATTTCTCAGCCTACCCTGCCTGGACATGACTGTGCATTCTCCAGACAAGTCATAATTATCTTGGGTTTTATTATCTTGGGTTTTACAGGTGTATGACATTGCTGTTGTGCAAGTACAGGGGGGCCGAAGAACCTCGTCCAGTTGTGTCTCTGGCTGTTTGTCTGCAGACGGTTCCAGACTGAAAACTGGTGTGAAATATGCTTCCCACACATTCAGAGCTGCGCCCAGCCTGTGTCTGTGCCCATGGAGAAATCACAAACGGAAGTCCTCTTCCTGAAAGCAAATGCTAACGGGTACAAGTGGTTCTTAAAAGTAATTTTTCTAGTATCAATCAGAACTTCAGTTGATGTTTTCATTTTAAAAAGGGGGTTGCTAAAATAATAACAGGGTAGCTATTTTCAGGTCTTTAAAAGTATTAAATAGATTGTGGGTGCTGTCATGTGAAGAGGTCTATGCTTTATTGCTAAGTGGTAAGAGCAAGTCTCTTGGCAGTAGCATTACTTCTTCTGCTGGAGGCATCACATATACGTTATGCATGGAGTCGGGGAGGCCA